AGAGAGAGAGAGAGAGCGAGAGTGACTGTGTCTCTCCTTGGAAGGCCGACGGGTCCACTTGGCGAGTGAGGCTACCGGAGCTCAATGCGGTACTGATACTTCGCTTGGGAGGCATTGTGGCGCTTAGTCCTCATCTTATCTCCTACATTGAACTAACTAGGACCCTCCGAAGAATAACAATGCTCAAATATCATCCAATCGATAGTGGCGCAGGTGGATATCCCGAGTCTCAGCCGCCATCACCATCCCTGGAATTCGATCCCTGGCCGAAGGGAGGCGATGCTTTCGCACGGCGTGTGACACAGGAGTGAGCTTCATTTCATGTCTTTGTGAGCGCTTGTTTGGACATCTCACGGCTGGGTCGAGGGCGTGTGATACTGCTACATAAGATACGACCCCAACCCACCAATCCGTTTAAACCGGTACAGAGAGAAGCTTGGAGTGATCATCCAACTCAATGTCGCCGCTTTGCTTCGGTCTCTCCATCTGCCCTGCCTGCTTGATTGTCTTTGTACTACTTTGTTGGTGACTCTGTCTCCTTTGTTCCATTCGCTGACCTTTTTGTCCGCTCAGGCTGCCGGCATGCAGGCGATGTATTTTGATCGACTTTGTCACTGCATGCACTCAACCGGCGCATACGTGTGAATTCTTTATTGTTTCATGCATATGTGTGGGTGTGTACGCAGCACATGTATTTTCATGTACAGACATAGAACTCAACTGGCTTCGGAATGCTTCGCAATTTTCACTGCATATATAGAATGGTGCGTCGTACCGGTCGATTCCTAATCTCACGGGCCATGCCCATTTAGGTACGTCCGTATGCATGCATGCACAGTCTATGTGTACATCCTTGTAACGCCATGTTCAATCCATTCTAGGTTACCAGCCCCGCCAAACCTTGCTCACATCCGTGATCAACAGCTTTGCCATTATAAGACCCGACTGAAGCACTACTCGCAAACTAAAGACTTACTTGAACGACGCCTCACAGAAATCTAGCGGAACTCTTCTGCATCCTGTAGAACCCTCCTCCCTACACGCCGTGGAGGCACAACGCCTACAACCAGGGGGGGGGGGTTGGCGAGTGAGGGACCCCCAGCTGGATCCCCTGTTCTGTTTCTTTGTAGCCGAGTACATGAGTAGGTAACCTTAAACGGTTGTAGCTAGCTAAGAATTAACTTTTGCCACGAAGCACCCCAAAAGCAGGACTTGTTGGGCCAATTTGAGCCTGGCAGCGGCTGTGTGATCCAGTGGGCTACTCGAGGTGAAAACCGATGAAGGTTGCAAGGGGGCTTTTTTGAGGCTTAGTTTACGAGTTTAATTAAAGGTCCGGGGTTTTGGGTTTTGGGGTTGCTCAAAAAAGGGGTTTCGGGTTTAGGGTTGATTGCATTCTGAAGCTTGGGATGACCAGTTGATCAGTTTTGCAGTCTGGGGTAGCCGGGTGGCACGAGTCCTCAGCCCAGTCGGCGCCTCGGTTCCTGGCATATGCATAACCCAGCTCAGGTGCAAAAGGAGTCATGAAGTTCATAAGCCCGAGTTAGAAGGGGCTCATTTATTTTTCCTGTAAAGTTTGGCTAGGTCAAGTTGTACATGTTTCGCTGCTTCTTTCGAGTCAGCCTGTGCTCTTGCAGCGCTGCAGCGTTTTTCTGAGCTTCTTGTGGGTAATGATCGCGGTGTGTAGTGCTGGCTGCTAGCTGTGGACAGTTCGCCCTGGAGCCTTGCCTGCCTCGTGTAATCATTGTAATTAACTGTAAAAAGTTGTGACAAGTATGCTGACGATGGTTATGCCGCTACTTAAATCTCCAACTAAGGGGCTTGTAACTCCACTTTGGGCCTACCCATGAGCCTTCAAGTACATCCCTCTGCCCCCCGTGCAAAACTCTAGGTTGAGTTCGTGAAGGAGGCCTGGGCCAACAGTCCTCCGGATGCTGTGGCGGCTGTCGAAACCGAGGCGGAGATGAGGGGGCCGAGCGCACAGTAGGGGGTGTGATTTTTTGAATGGGGGGGGGCCTGGGTAGAGGAGGCGGCTGGCAGGTTCTCCAATATCAGATCCCCCTGCCCCCACCCTGTCACACAAACCCTTGGACTGCCAATTCTTGTCCCGACTCAGGCACCAGCAGAGGTGGTGGAAACAGAGGCCAAGCCCAGCAGCGTCGCCCTGACGCCAGAGCTGGCCCAAGCTGTAGGCCTCTTGATGGAGCTGGGAGCGTGTATGTATATGTATGTATGTATATATATATATAGATAGATAGATAGATAGATAGATGGATAGTATGTGTGTGTGTGTGTTGCAGGGTTCGTCATATCTGTTTCTTCGCACGGGGTTTCGGAGGCTTATCTTCAAACAAAACCCTAGACCTCTGACGCTATGCCTACGCCCTTGTTAGCCCTCAAGCCCAGTCCTAGCTAGGTGGGAGGCAAAAGGACGTAGTCTAAACTCTTCAACATCGGACGGTAAATCCCATCTCCGTTTGATGCTGCAGTCTCCGAGTTGTGAGAGTAAATACAAAGTCAATCCATATATCCTTAGTTCCCCCTACAATCTCAAGCCCAGGGTTCAGGACTGGATCATGCAATTTTGAGGCTGTTGCCCAACAATATCTCGAGCCCGCAGCCTCAACCCTAAACCTAACTGTAAACATCAAACCCGAAGCCCCGAACGAGGCCCATCTTTGTTGAGCGCTGGCTTCACAGAATGGAGCCCGGGTCTCTTCGCCCACAGCGACAAGGGGGTCACTGCAGAGGCAGCAGATTTCGGGGACGCGGGCCTCGATGAGTTTAGCGTAGGGATATCTGCGGACGTACGTCGCACTTTTACATCTGCATGTGTATTTCATCTTCAATATTTTCCAGCTGATGTGTAGACACACCGTATAGTATAGCAAAAGTATGTAAATTGATGGGCAGGAGAAACGAAAACGGCAGACAGCTCTAAATGGGCAATAAGGTGCCGTAGACTAGCTAGGCATCACATAGGACTGTCCGGCCTAAGTTGCAGCAGCAGATTCCACCCTTCAAAGTATGAAAGCTCAGCTGGTGAGGTCCGCGAGGATCTCAGCATCACCGTCGACGGAGTGGACGCAGAGGACCTCGTGGACTGGGCTGGTATGCAATTGTCGGCAGACCCTGCTAGTTTCGGAGCGCGACTCTTGGAGTGGGTGGCTCTTCTTTTTTAGAGTTGTGCAGGACTCAGTAGGTGTCTGAGGCGGGTTGCACTTAATCTGTTACTACTACTACTACTACTACTACTACTACTGCTACTCCTACTACTACTCCTACTCCTACTCCTACTCCTACTCCTACCCCTACCCCTACTCCTACTCTGCTCCTACTACTACTACTACTACTACTACTACTACCACTACTACCACTACTACCACTACTACCA